GAGAGAGCAAACCCTAAACCCTACACCCAAACCCTGAGTACTGAATCCTAGACTCAAGCCCTACGCCTTAAACCCAAAACCCTAAACCCCAAACCCTACACCCCAAACCCTAAACCCTAAACCCTAAACCCTAGACCCTAAACCCTAAACCCTAAACTCACGCCTGTCTCCTCGCAGTGCTGCGGCTGCTGAGGGGAGTTAAGAAGAGCAGCAGCCGCTCAGCAACGCACAGACGCACAAAGTCCTGCAGCACTCCAAACCCTAAACCCTAAACCCTAAACCCTAAACCCTAAACCCTAGCAGCCGCGTCAGACCTGCGCGCCGCCAGTTGCAGCTACAAAGACAGGAGAAAAAGGAAAAGAGAAAAAAGGAAGAATAAAATAAAATAAAAAAACAAAAAAAATAAAAAGACAAAAAAAGAAATTTAAAGAAAGATAAAAGACACAAAAAGAATTCTTTCTCATTTAATGAATTTGCCGCTCAGGTAAAAAGTAAAAGGAGAGTCAAGACACCCAACGACTAACTAAATAATCAATTTAATTAATTTAATTAATTAATTAATTAATTAATTGATTAATTAATTAATTAATTAGCTTATTATTTAATTTATTTGATTAAACACCGTATTTATTTATTTATTTATTGAAAAGCAAAAAATCGAAAATTGAAAAAATGAGTAAGTTGGGAAGCATCTGGTGTATGTACACTCCAGAAATTCGCAAAATCTTCAAAAGCCACGAATTAAATTAAAAGTGTTTTGGATAATTTCAAAAAACTGAAAATAATAAAAATGATAAAAGGAAATAACAATTCATAATACATAATAAATAATAAATGACACATGATGAATAATAAATGATATCTAACAAATAATAAATGATAAATAATAAGTGATAAATAACAAATAATAAATGGTAAATGAAAAAGAATAAATGCTAAATAATAGATAACAAATAATAAATAATAAATAAGTGATAAATGATAAATACTAAGTACCAAATAAATAACAATAAATAATAAATGATAAATAATTAACTTTAAAAATGAACAAAAGTGAAGAAGGAAAGGAATATTTCCGTAGCAGCAAATCGCGGATCAAACGGAAGCAAATTGCGCGGAAATGAACAAAAACAAGAAAATAAATCAAAATAAATCAAAATAAATCCAAATAAATCAAAATAAATGAACTAAAATGAACTAAAATGAATTAAAATGAATTAAAATGACAAAAAACGAACAAGTTGCTGCGGCCCTCTTTCCGCCTCTTCTCTTTCGTCCATCTCCAGGTGTCTAGACACCGCAGCGGTGTCGTTCCACATTTCCGCCTCGCGCATGCAAAGGGCCTGAGGCATTTAAATCAAACAATAAATAAATAAATAAATACATTTATTTATTTATTTATTTATTTATTAGTTCCTTATTTATCCATTTATTCGCTAGTTTGTGGGACTAGGAGACTCGGAAAAAGAAGCAAAAGTAAAGACAGGGGCAAGCAGCAGCAGCAGCAGCAGCAGCAGCTGCTGCTGCTGCTGCACTGCCGGTTCTGCTGCTGCTGCTGCTTCAGGCGGTATTCTGCGGCTGCTGCTCGTGCTCTGCTTCTGCTATTCTGCTGCTGCTGCTTTACTCCCAATGCTGCTGCAGCACTTCTGCTACAACAACCACCGCTGCTGCTGCTGCTGCTGCTGCTGCTGCTGCTGCTGCTGCTGCTGCAGACCCTAAGGCTCATGTCTTTGGCTGCGTCGGGGAGGTCCGGCCATCCCTGGAGGAGGTCTGCGAGTCTGTTGACAATTCGAAAGGCAATCTTCTTTTTAGGGTTTAGTTTGTAAACCCCCGAAAGAGAGGAAAATAAAACTTTTATTTCTCTTCCTGTCCAAGTTCGTTCCAGAGACACTTCAAACCCGTTCGGGTGTATGGACAGGCCCTCTTCGCTCGCAAGGCAAGGCCCAAACAGAGACACTACCGGCTTCAGCCTACGCGCAAACCCTAAATTAGGGTTTGGGCTTTACGGTCTAGGGTTTAGGGTTTCGGCTTTAGGGTTTAAGGCGGAAGCAAGAAACAAGAACAGCTGCAGTTTCCGGCCGACAGAAAGCCCCCAGCCACGACACCACAGCCTAGGGTTTAGGGTTTAGGGTTTAGGGTTTAGGGTTTAGGGTTTAGGGTTTAGGGTTTGGGACCTCATGATGTCTCGGACGGTGTCGACGCGGGAGGCCGCCAAGAGGAACTCGACGCAGACTTTGTTGAGTGCATGCAAATTTTCAATTGTGGATTTTCTGGAAATAAAATTAAATTTAAAATAAATAAATAAATAAATAAATAAATGCAAGAAAAATTTAATAAGGAAAGGACTTGAAATATATAGATTTTAGAAATGGAATTTAGGAAAGATAAATAAAAGAATACTTTTAAAAAGCAAATAATATTTTCAAAAAGAAAAGAATAAATTTAAAAAATTAAAAAAATAAAATAAAAAATAAACAGTGTGTTGAAATGATAAGTAGGAAATTAAAAAAGATGAAAATAAACCAAACAGAAAGATAAAAAGGAAATTAGAAAAAGCGAAAAGAAAATAAAAAATAGTTCTTAAACTAAAAAGACATTTAAAAGGCCGCTTTAAAGGCCTTTAAAAAGGCCTTTAAATTAATTTTAAAAGGACTTAAAAAGAGCCTCAAAAGGACTTCAAAATCCCATTTGAAAAGGCCTTAAAAAGCCCTTAAAAGGACTTTAAAATTAACTTTAAAAGGCTTTCAAATTAATTTAAAAAGTCCTCTAAGAGGGCTTCAAAAGAACCTTTTAAAGGCCTTTTTGAACTTTTAAATGAATTTAAAAAGTCCTAAAATTGGCTAAGACTGGCCTTGCGGGTTCGGAAAAAGTGGCGAGGTTTTTGTAAATTGTCTCCTCAGCAGCAGCAGCAGCAGCAGCAGCAGCAAAACCCCACAGCACTGCGTGGGCCCTGGGGGCCTCTGCGAGGGCGAGGCGCAGCAGCACTTTTGCTGCAGTCTGCAGCACTTCCGAGGTCAGTCCTGCAGCAAAAGGTAATTTCTTTTTTTAATTTTGAAAATCTTTTTCATTTCTATTTCTTTTTAATTTCCTTTCTTTCTTTCCCCCCTTTTTCCCTTCTTTTTCCCCTTTTTCCCGCCGTTTTAAGTGCTTTTTACAAAATGCTGCTGCTGCTGCTGCTGCTGCTGCTGTTGCTGCTGTTGCTGCAGCAGCAGCAGCAGCAGGTGTTTAAGGAGGCACATTCAGGCAGAAAGGGGACAAATAAGGAGACAGATAAAAAACAAGTGGGGAAATAAAAAAGGAAATAAAAAGGAATAAAGAAAGAAAATAAATAAAATAATAAATAAAAGGAAACAAACAAAAGAAAAATAAAAAGACAAATGAGAAATAAATGAAACGAAAAGAAAAAGAAAAGACAAAAAAAAAGACAAAGATACTTCGAAAGGAAAAAAGATATTAAAAGGTAATTTGTTTTAACAGACAAAAGGATCTTAAAAGAGACAAAAGGAGACAGCAAGAGACTTACAAATCCAAAATGGACTAAAGAGGAAAAAAAGGAATAAAAAAGCAAAAAGGAAATAAAATGCCAAAAAAGAAACCAAAAACGCCAAAAAAGAACTTAAAAAAGCCAAAAAACAAATCTAAAAAAGCCAAAAAATGAAATTAAAAAAAGCTAAAAAAGAAATTGAAAAATCCAAAAAAGAAATTAAAAGAAAGAATGGAAAGAGGGAAAGAAAGAAAGAAAGAAAGAAAAACTGACCTGCATGCGGAAAGTGGAGTCTTTTGATTAAATTAATTAGCAGCAAAACTGTCTCCTTGGATATACACTCCAGCGGCAAGCTGTACGTACACCCCACCGCCGCGCGCACCACTTCTTCATTTCGAACTTCCAACAAATTTATTATTGCCTTTTCTCCCCGAGACGCCAAAAATGAATCCACCAGCGACTGCAGCAGCAGCAGCAGCAGCAGCAGCAGCAGCAGGTGCAGCAGCAGCAGCAGCAGCAAAAGATAAAAAATGTTATTTAGATTTATTATTATAGTTCAAACGCCCCACAGCGGTGTCTGTACACCCCACCCGCAGCCCGAAACAAAAAACCAATTAAAAGAATTAAAATAATTAAAATAATTAAAATAATTAAAATAATTAAAATAATTGAAACAATTAACATAATTAAAGCAATTAAAACAATTAACACAATTAAAACAATTAAAATAATTAAAACAACTAGATAAATTGAACCAAACAAATCAATTGGAACAATTTAATCAACTAGATGAATTGAACAAATTAAATGAATTAAATCAATTAAAACAACTAAATAAAATAAATAAATAAATTAAATAAATTATATGAAACAATAAACTAAATGAATTAAATAATTTAAATAAATTAAACGAATTAAATAAACAAACGATTATCCGGGCTAAATCAATTAAACAAGCCAAACAAATTAGATAAATAAACAAATGAATGAACGAATAAATAAACAACAAATAAATAATAAATAAATACAAACAACAAATAAATAGAAATAAACAGATAAATATAAATAATAAACAATAATAAATGAAATGGATTACTTGAAAAGAAGGCTGGTTTGTGGGGCGCAGGTAAAACCCCAAAAAGTCGCAAATGGCGGCCAAAGCTTTGCATGCAAAAGTGTTCGTCAAACGGCACAAAGGAGGAGTTTCCGGCACGAAGTCCAGCTGAAAGAAACAAAATAAATCAATTTAATTCATTATTTCATTCATTTTATTTGATTTAGTTGATTTAATTGGTTTTATTGTTTGTTTTGTTTTATTTGTTTGTTTATTTGCTTTTGAATGGTGTTTGAATTAGTCCATTTGGAGCATTTCATGAGTTCCCGGCACGAAGTCCAGCTGAAACAAATCAAAATAAATCCAATTTAATTCATTTATTTTATTTGATTTAATTCATTTATTTAATTAAATTCATTTAATTCATTAATTCATTTTATATTCATTTTATTTTATTTTAGTTTGTTTTGTTTTATTTATTCATTTGCTTTTGAATGGTGTTTGAATTAATCCATTTGGAGCATTTCATCAGCTAACAAACTCGAGTTGGAATAAATCAAAATTAAATTTAAACTGATTTAATTCAATTTAATCAATTTAATTTATTTAAATGAATTAATTCTTTAGATTAATTTGCTTAAAGCATTTAATTCTTTAAATGATTTGAAGACAGAAAGATAAAAAGATAAAAAGGGACTCTTTAAAAGCAAATGAAGAACACAAAGAAGAAAAAAAAGGAGACCAAAAGAAGACAAAAAGGGGGACAACACAGAGACAAAAAAGAGACAAAAAAGTATAAAAAGGAGACGGAAAATGGCATAGAAAAGAGGCAAAAAAAGACTTAAAAGAGGCAAAAGGAGATTAAAAGGAGACAAGAAAGGGACAAAAAAAGAGACAAAAAAGGGACAAAAAGGCGAAAGGAAAAAGGAGAAAAAAGAGGCAAAGAATCCAAAAAGGGAGTCAAAAAAAACACAAGAAAGAGACAAGAAAGGGACAAAAAACAGACAAAAAGGAGAAAAAAAGAGACAAAAGAGAGTTAAAGAGGAGTCAAGAAAGAGAGCCAAAAAGGAGTTGGAAAAGAGACAAAGAAGAGTTAAAAAGGAATCAAGAAGGAGTTAAACAGTAAGACAAAAAGTGGCCAACAAAGAGACAAAAAGAAGGAGAAAAAGGCCAAAAGAAGAAGCAAGAAAAAGGAGACAAAAAGGAGAAAGAGACAAAAAGGGTACAAAAACAGAATCAAAAAGAAGCTCAAAAGAGCAAAAGAAAGTCCAAAAGGAAGGCAACAAAGAAGACAAAAACTAAAATAGAAAATAAAAGAAAAAGGAAGCAAAACAGAAAACAAATTTCGTCAAAAAGTAAAAAAAACTGGAAAAAAAAGCAAAAAGAGCGAAAAGTGAGCAGAGAAAACATCCAAAAGAAGTCCAAAAAGGAGCCAAAGAAGAGCCTCAGAAGGATTTCCAAAAGACGACTCAGGGAGGAGAAAAGTGGAGCCAAAAAGGAGCAGAAAAATCGCAAAAAGAGAAAAAATAAACAAAAAATAAACGAAAATGAATAAAAATAAATGAAAATAAATGAACAAGACCTTATCTGAGTCCTTGAGGGCCCTGTGGGCCCTGTCGCACAAACGGCTGTAGCTGGAGCCGCCCAAGTACTGCAGCAGCGCAGCAGCACCTTGCAGCTCGCTGGAGATGTACTGCAGCAGCTGCTGCTGCTGCTGCTGCTGCAGCTGCTGCTGCTGCTGCTGCTGCTGCTGCAGTTCAAACTCCAGGACCACGCGGACGCCTGCGGCGCGCAGCGGGGGGAAAAAGAAATTCGAAAAAAGAATTTAAATTCGAATTTTAAAAATTAATTTAAATTATTTTTCGAAGTTTTTATTTCATTTTTTGTTTTGTTTACTGACACACCCGTGCAACTCGCAGCAAGAATTAAAGGGTCTGCTGCGTCTTCTTTCAGCGCCGGCAGCAGCAAATCCACAAAGTGGTAATTGTTGCAACACACCTCCATCGCCTGACAAACCCTAAACCCTAAACCCTAAACCCTAAACCCTAAACGACCCTTAACCCCAATCCCGGGGCTCTGAACCGCGAACCCTCCGCGCTAAAGCGTAAACTCTGGACCCGAAATCCCAAACCCTAAACCCTAAACTCTGACTTTCAAACCTTAAACCCTAATCCCTAAACCCTAAACCCTAAACCCTAGTTCACCTCCTGGGAGCTTTTAATCATGCCCGTGAGAGCGTCAATTATGGCGGCGGCCACTTTTGCCTGAGCACAAAGAGCTGCGGTGTACATACAGCGGAGTGCAGCAAGAAATACACAAATGCGGCCAGTGCAGGCAACACACCAAATCAGGGTTTAGGGTTTAGATTAGAGTTTAGCACTTGGCGGCTTGAAGGTTGATTCCTTTTAGACAGAAGACAGAGCTGAAGGGTTTTGCTGACATTTCATCTTTCCTGAAGTTTCTCATTTGTTGAAAATGCATTTAATTCAAAACAATTTTCATTTTCAAAACATTTCACATTTTGTCTGCTGAGAAAGTTCTCCCCAACACAAATGCATTTAATAAAATGAAAAGAATCTTTTTCTGATTTTGGATTTTGAAGAAAAGCGCAGATCCGAATTTGCGGTTTCGGAGGATTGCGGTGTCGACACACCGCAGCGGCGCGAAAAACGCGAAAACAAGAACGCGAAATGAAGATTAAAAGCCCCGACGCATGCAATTCTTTTGATTTTAATCAAACGTTTCAATTAGAAGAATTAAAAACAACCCAAAAATGATCTAAACTGCTCAAAAATAAATCAATTCTTCTCGAGGCGCCTTGGGCGTAGCCGCGCGGTGTACGTACACCGCAATTGCGGTGTACGCACAGCTTTTTCTTCGCGAGCCCGCGAGAGCCCCAGGGCTCCAAATGTGGACCAAAAGTATTTAAATGCACACAGATTGCAATCAAATTGCAATTAATCACAATTATATTGTAAATCTGCCTTAAATGGACTACTTTTAGCGCGAAAAGTCGTGAAAAAATCGTTTTTCGCTCTGGTGGCAAATGCATGCAGCGGCGTCTGGCGGTGCGGAAAAGTGCGGAAAAAAGAGGAAAGAAGAATTAAATGAACTCTTTTAAATGGGAAATTGAATATAATTAAATGTATTTCTTGTTTGAAGTTAAATTACCTTTTTAATCGGAAGAGTTGAAGAACTTTTTCTTTCTCCCAAAATTTCCCGCAGCCCCGGAAGAAACACTTTGAGGTGTATAAGCGACTTCGTCAAATGCAAAGCCGCCTTCGGGCAGTGCCACGCGCAGCGGCTAAAAATAAAAATAAATAAATTAAATAAATTATATGAATTAAATACATTAAATAAATAAATAAATTAATATTAAATGAATAAATACAGAGATATTAAATAAACGAAAAGAAATAAAAAGGCATAAAAAGAAACAAAATGGATAAAAAGATAATAAGTAAAGGAAATAAAACGAAATAAAATGAATTTAAAAAATTAAAAATAAAATAAATCAAAAGAAATTGAACAAATAAAAAGAAATTAAAAGGAAATGGAAGAATCAAAACAAATAAAAAGAAATAAAAAGAAATAAAAAGGTTTAGAAAGGATGTGAAAGGAGACAAATAGGATTTAAGGAAATTTAAAAAAGATAAAAGGAAGTGAAGGGAAAACAGAAAAAAAAAGAAAAGGAAAAGAGTAAAAAGCAAGAAGGCAATAGAAGAAAATAACAAGAAGACAAAAAGTAAATAAAGGGAGATCAAAAGAAACAAAAAGAAGATTTAAAAAAGAGGTAAAATGGACAAGGGGAAATAAAAAGAGAAACAAAAAGAAAATAAAAAAGAAACAAAAAGGAAACAAAAAAGAAACAAAAAGATGATTAAAAAAGAAAGAAAAAGAAGTTTAAAGTGAACAAAAGGGAGAACAAAAAGGAATAAAAAGAAAATCAAACAAATAAAAAAGAGAAAATGGAGAGAGATTAAAAAGTGCTGCTGCTTCTGCTGCTGCTGCTGCTGCTGCTGCTGCTGCCTCTGCTACTGCTGCTGCTGCTGCTGCTGCTGTGTGAGTCCTCAGTTTTGGCAATTGCTTTTCCAACTTTACCCCAAAATGATGCACATGTCGCAAAATAAAGAAAACTTTTCTTCTGACTTTGGAATTCCCTCCTCCAGAATGCGGTGGCACAGCAGCTGTACGTACACCCCAACTCGCAGCAGCAGCTGTACGTACACCCCAGCTGCAGCAGCAGCAGCAGCTGCTGCTGCTGCTGCCCGTAAACACAGACGCCAGCAGCAGCAGCAGCTGCAGGTGCAGCAGCAGGTGTATATACACTTTAGCAATTTATTTCCCACAAAAATGCAGCTTCTAAATAAAGCGCGTATGCAACCAGCATTAAACCCTAAACCCTAAACCCTAAACCCTAAAACCCTAAACCCTAGACTCCTGCACAGCAAAGCGATAAGGCACGTGTAAATGGTAGACGCCCACTGCCACAGAGAGCCTGCAAATTCAGCTCAATCTGTTTAGTATTTAGGGTTTAGGGTTTGGGATTGAGGGTTTAGGGTTTAGGGTTTAGGGTTTAGGGTTTAGGGTTTAGGGTTTGGGGTTCAGCTAGCACCTGGGGCACTCCCTGTCCTGTGGCCTCGATGCAGTTTTCTTGAGCGAGACAAACTAAAGCCAAAACTTTGCAGATAGCCCTGAAGCAGCAGCAGCAGCAGCACAAGCAGCGGCAGCAGCAGCAGCAGCATCAGCAGCAGCAGCAGCAGCAACAACAGCAGCAGCAGCAGCAGCAACTTTTTAATTTCACAGCTCCAAGCCACCACCCCGCAGGCCTCTTCTCCTTTGAGCCCAGGGGCCCCTGGAGGGCCCCTGGGGCCCCCCAAAGGGCCCCAGGTCTCGGGGGCCCCCAAGGAGCCCCCTAAGGCCTCTCGGGGCCCCCTGGGGGCCCCCTAGGTCCCTTTCGGAGCCCCTGGGGGCCCCTCAAGACCCAGGCCCTGAGGCCATCACTGGGGGCCCCCAAAGGCCTCTTGAGGGGCCCCTAGGGGACCCTTGGGGGCCCCTTGGGGGCCCCCCAAGGGCCCCTTGGGGCCCCCTAAGGGCCCCCTGGGGGCCCCTGGGGCCCCTCGAGGCCCCGGGGGGCCCCCGAAGGCCCCCGGGGGGCCCCCGAGGCCTCTTTGAAGCCAGAAGGCATTTATTAATGCTCCTTTTGGAACACAAATGAACTAGAATGAAATAAATTGAAGAAGTGCAAAAACGGAAAGTTTGAGTTGCTGCTGCTCACGGTGTGGGGCCGCAAAGAGAAAGAAGGTCCCCCAGCAAAGAGACACAGGGAGACAGCGCGAGGGCCATCGCGAGGCTGTCTCCTTCGCCCGCGAGGCCCCGCAGTATGTCCATCACGGCTCTCTCCTGCAGCAGCAGCAGCAGCAGCAGCAGCGGCAGCAGCAGCAGGCGCGGCAGCAGCGGCGAAAATTTCGGGACCAGCGGCGAAAGGCCCGAAGCAGCAGCAGCAGCAGCAGCTATAGCAGCAAAGCAGCAGCGGTAGTAGATGCAGCAGCAGTCAGCGCAGCAGCAGTGGACGCAGCAGCAGCAGATGCAGCAGCAGCAGATCGCAGCAGCAGCAGCAGCAGCAGTAGAAGCAGCAGAAGCAGCAGAAGCAGCAGAAGCAGCAACGGCAGCAGCAGCAGCTGCTGCTGCTGCTACTGCAGCTGCTGCTGACATCAGTTTTGAGTTCGAGGAGAGAAGGGACAACAACTTGGGCGAGGACTTGAGAAGCAAGGCCGCTTTTGTCTCCTTTGGGGTCTTCTTGCTGCTGCTGCTGCTGCTGCTGCGTCAGCTGCTGCAGCAAAGAAGAGACATAAAAGGCCAGCGAGCCTTCGCCCACGCCGCAGAGGCTGCCCAGCCCGCTGCAGCAAAAGAGATAAAATTAAATTTAGAAATTAAACTGAAATCAAATTTAAGGATTAAAATTAAAATTAAAATAAATTAAAATAAACTAAAATGCAAAAAACAAACTTGCAGCAAAAGGAAACACAATGTCGAAAATCAAAAAGACAAAAAGGAGACACAAAGGTGACAACTCGCAGCGCGGCGCAGACACACAGCGGGACAGTCAGCAGCAGCAGCAGCAGAAGCAGCAGCAGCAGCAGCAGCAGCAGCAGC